CAAGCTTTGATAAGCTGTGGCCAACTGTCACGCCGCCCTACAGAAATTTTGTACAGTTCCCGCCTTTTCTCTCTCTCTTATTTCACAAAACACTCTTTTCTTTTTTGAATCATTCACCCATTCTCTTCACCTTCTCTTCTCCCTTGTCTCCTGAGCCCCTGAGTTTTGAGCTTGCTATGTTCGTGCCTCCATTGCTGCCATTGCCTCCATCTCTTAGCTTCTCCCTTACTCGGGTAAGCAAGCCTATCCTTCTTGCTCTTTTGCCTGTTTTATCATCTGTTTTTTTTTTGTATGCTTTTTGCAAACACTTTTCTCCATTTGTTGCTTTGCATTTGTACTTTCACGAAGAAATAGTAGCAGAGTTCATGTGTGTATGAACTTCTGAAAAAAAACTAGTCTTAGATCCAGAATAATGTAGCGACCGATCTAGGGTACTGTTTGTCCAAATAGGCAAATTACTTCAGTCAATAGCCGAACTAGAACTTGTAGAAATGACAGTAGCTTCAAAAAATAACCTTCTGATTCACTTTAGCCGAAATAAGATCACCGAACGAAGTCTGAATACATTGACCTAAGAACCTTAGTCTTCAACCGAGCTAAGCCTTTGGGGCCAAGCCAGCTTTCTTAATTCCTAAACCGAACTCAGAAAGCTGCCCCTAGAGGCTTAACCGAAGTAACTTTATTCATACTACAACCGATTTAGGCCTTGGGGCCAAACCAGCTTTCTTAGTCTTTTAGACCGAACTCAGTTTATTCATACTGCAACCGATTTAGGCCTTGGGGCTAAACCAGCTTTCTTAGTTTTTTAGACCGAACTCAGAAAGCTGCCCCTAGACGTTAAACCGGTCTACCGAGCAACCTGCCCAAACCGAGCTACCAACCCTTTTGATGAACCGAGATGGAACTAGTCTTTTGAGGCCGAAGTAGGGCTCTTATACCTTGCTTTTAAATTGTAGCACGGTCCAACGATCAGTGCTTTAACCCCCTCTGTTTTCTACTTTGCAGACTTAGGTTACCCAGGCACTCCTGCATGCGCTCAACCGAGCTACTGAGCACGATTTCTGCACCGATATAAATTATAAGTAAATTATACATCAGATGGGTAAGTATAGGTATCTAGTTGAGACACCTGGTGGCATGGCCGAATTTAGGAAAGATTACCATATTCCTGATGATGTTCATCTGAGTTTGGCCGAAAAAGATGTTATTCCGTGGGAAAAAGAAGGCTTCGTCCCTTTTACCCTTCAATCCATAATAGAAACCGGACTTCGGTTTCCCGTCCAACCATTGATCTGTGAATTTCTTAGGCAGACTAGGTTATGCCCCACCCAACTGTCCACCAATACATACCGCATTATTATGGGAATAGTCGCACTAAACCATCAAACCAGACTAAACCTTGGTCTATTACCTTAGGATTCGCCACAAATACTCCATCGGCTCAAAAGATGCTGGGTGGGTCTATTACCTTAGGATTCGCCGCCGCCGAGAGAAGATAGTAAAACACACACCGGACAAAGACCTTAACGACGATGATTTTTTCTGGGTCTCTGGGAACTTTGAGGATTTTCAAGCCCAAATTCCTGGCCGACCTATAAATTGGAAAAAGGGAGAGCCCAGTAATTTAACTTCGGTCTTCTTCCTTGTATGTTATTTCGGTTTTTTAGTCTATTAGCCGAACTAACACTTCTCTTTTTGCAGATTTCGCCCACCTCCGTTCCCTATACAGCTATCCCAACCTTGCGATTTTGCGAGCCGCACTACGGTGTAAAGAAAGGAGTTGGGCCAAACTTCTAAACTTTGAACCGACCTACCGATATAGCGGTCGTCGGAAGGCTCGAGTGACCGATTTCCTTCTCGAGGAAGCACCAGAACCGAACCCAACCTTACCCGAAATACGACTTGTCCCATTAACTGCTGAAGAAGAGATGGCAAAGAAAAGCAGGGTTAGGGCCCTTCTGACCGTAACAACCAGAGCCGAAGTACCATCAACTATTGAGGCGCAGCCTGCCGTTGTGGCCCTCCCTTCTCAACGGCCTTCTTCATCTCGCCCTTCCAAACGCGCCCGATCTACATCGACCGAACAGCAACTTGTCGATGAGGTTGAATCCATCCCCCAAAGTCCTCAACCTTCCCCCCAACCGGAGCAAACTGACCGAGCTGAATCTCCGAAGTGGGCTCCGCCGCTGACCTTCAACGACCGAGACATCAAAGCTACTGACTCGGTCGTGGCTGAAAAAGATCACCAATTGGCTTTTAATCTGGCCAAAAGTGTGTGCCTCTCCAAGGACATGGAGCACCACTTAAAGCAATTGAACACCGAAATGAAGTCAATTCGGTCTGCATCCAAGTCCATGATTTTGGTAAGTAACTGTCTATTTTTTCTTGTTTGAATTTTCCAACCTTTACTTCGGCTTAACAGAAGTCTTTGTTTTGTCAGGCCTTATAGAAGAACAACATCACTTACAAGAAAGTCCAAGAACTCCGAAAAACCACAAGGCAAGCAATGGCGGAAGCCGAGGCAAAGGCGGCCGAACTAGAGGAGGCCGAAAGGAAAATGACCGAGCTTCAGGCAGAGAACGGTCGACTTGCCGATCTGGTTAGCTCGGCTGAAGTGGAGAGGCAGAAAGCGGCCATCGCTATGAAAGACAAATATCTGCGGGAGTTGGTGAAGCTTGAGAAGAGAAAAGACACCGAAATAAGCGAACTAAAAAAGAGCGTGGAGGCGGCCGAAAAGGAGGGGTACAAGCGAGGTTACAAGGAGGCAGAAGACGCCTATGTCAAACAATGCGACGCCGCGAAGGAGCTGTTCTTTAAGTGCGGCTGGAGGGCGGCTGTGGAGAAGCTCGGTCATGATCAACAGACCGAGGTCTTCGACCCTCCAGCTTACTTTATACCGAAGTCCCTTGCGGAGTATGCAGACGCCTTGCAACAAGAGTTTCTGGAGGACTCAGACTCTGATGACTCCTCTGCTCCCGAAGACATTCCGATTGTAAGTGCAGACCCGACACTTCGGTTGGAGCCCATGGTGGATGACCTACCTATCGAACAGCCAAATGAAACCGTGGTTCCAACCGAAACCAACCCGGCGACCGAGCGTGATCTTCCCCTTGAAACCGATTTTCAAGTTGATGGTGATGTGGCCTTTGACGCCGAAATACAAGAGCTCTTTTCTTGACTTTGTACTTTTTTCTTTTTCTTATTTCGTCTTTGTAACCGGGCTTTGGTCCTTGCTTTGTACTTATTTTGATCTTTAATGAAATGGAAATTTGCTTGAACTCTAACTTCGGTTTTGATATGTATGTCTGTACTTTGTAGTGCCTTCAGTTACTCCAACTGTTATTTCGGTTTTGGCTGGTTAAACTACGATTACTAGCCAACCACTCCTTAGCCGATATAATCACTTCGGCTGAGGAGTACAAAGTGCTTAATCCAATCAATCCAATTTCAGCCATACCCTTACTTCTACACTTACTTCGGCTGAAGAGTAACAAGTGTTGGTTTATTTCAGCCAACCACTCTTCAGCCTTGCACTTACTTCGGCTGAAGAGTAACAGGAGTTGGTTTCTTCCAGCCAACCACTCTTCAGCCTTGTACTTACTTCGGCTGAAGAGTAACAAGAGTTGGTTTATTCCAGCCAACCACTCGTCAGCCTTGCACTTACTTCGGCTGAAGAGTAACAAGTGTTGGTTTATTCCAGCCAACCACTCTTCACCCTTACACTTACTTCGGCTGACAAGTGTTGGTTTATTCCAGCCCACCATTCTTCAGCCTCACACTTACTTCGGCTGAAGAGTAACAAGTGTTGGTTTATTCCAGCCAACCACTCTTCAGCCTTACACTTACTTCGGCTGAAGAGTAAAAGTGCTGGTTTATTCCAGCCAACCACTCTTCAGCCTTACACTTACTTTGGCTGAAGAGTAACAAGTGTTGGTTTATTCCAGCCAACAATTGAAGTTAGTTTTTCTAGCTAACTTAGAATGGAATGCTTGTAGTATACTTAGTCTTGAAAGCTAACTTTTACAAGGAGTAATCTGTGCTAAAAAGAATCTCATTTTATTGAAGGAAGAGAAAATTACATAATGTTCGAAAGAGAAAAGCTAAAAGTAAAATATCTTGAGATTGGCCGTATTCTATGGCCTAGGGATTGCCTTGCCATCCTTGTCTTCTAGGTGGTATGCCCCTTTGCCGGCTAACCCAACCACCTTATAAGGACCTTCCCAATTTGGGCCTAACTTGCCGTCTCCTGGGATCAAGGTGTTTCCCATTACTTTGCGCAATACCCAATCGCCAATTTTGAATTGTCTTGGATGAACCTTTTTGCTGTATTTTCGGATTAACTCTCGTTGGTATGAGGCGATGTGGACCAACGCTCTTTCTCTTCTTTCTTCTGCAAGGTTTTTCTAGTTAGAACTTGAGTTCATCTTCAAAATCTTTCAATTTCTTGAGCAAATCTTCAAGGATGAACTCTCTCTCTCTCTCTACAGAATTCACTAATTTCTCTCTACATAACTTAACCTCAGCCAAATTATTGAAGAAGAGCTCAAATATATGAGCTTAAGCACTATCTCATCCAATTTATATAAGGTAATTAGCTTAGGTAATCAAACTTGATTAAGGCTAATCATTCCTTAATAAATTAATCAACTTAATCTAATTATTTTGATCTGAATCAATTTGTAATCAAATTTCACCGTAGGCTCTAAAATTATGCTAATCATAATGTTGCAGTCAATTTCGGTTTCTGTTGCCTCTACAACCCTCAATTTCAATTATAACAGAATATGGTACAAATATTTCTACAATGGATATATATGAATTCACAAACACATATGATCACATGATTAGCATCCAAATTCACATTAAGCATATAATCATAAATATAACTATAGATTAATAGTATAATACAGAACGGGGTTGTCACATTCTTTCCCTCTTTAGGAAGTTTGGTTCTCCAAACTTATGTTACCTTCCGTTGGAAATAGAAGTGGGTAATGTTGTCACATCTCATCTTTTTTTTCCCATGTGGCTTCCCTTCCATAATGCTCCTTCAATTTCTCTTTCACCATTGGAATGGATTTGTTTCTCAGTTGTTTTACTTTTCGGTCAATGATTTGTTCTGGCCATTCTTCATATTCCATATTCTCGTCAAGAGCTATCCGGTGGTGATTAATGACATGAAACGGATCTCGGAGATAACCCCTCAACATCGATACATGGAACACGTTATGCATTTGTTCCATATCCTGTGGTAAAGCAACTCTATAGGCAACTGGGCCAAGTTTCTCCAGAATTTGGAATAGCCCAATGTAATGGGGTGACAACTTTCCCTTTTTGCCAAATCTCGGCTGGCCCTTCATTGGAACTACATGGATAAACACGTGATTGCCAACCTCATATTCAAGAGGCTTCCTTCTAACACCCGTATAACTTTTTTGTCAGCTCTGAGCTGTCTTAAGCCTTTGCTGAATAATCTTGATCTTTTCAATGGTAGATTGCACAATTTGAGGCACAAACAAGACCATATCTCTAACTTCTGTCCAACAGACTAATGATCTACATTTTCTTCCATATAAAGCTTTATATGGTGCTATGCCAATGCTGGTGTAGTAGCTGTTATTATATGCAAATTCTGCCAATGGTAAGTAATCTTCTCAACTCCCCTGAAAATCTAAGGCACATATTCAGAGCATATCTTCCAAAGTCCGTACAGTCCATTCTGATTACCTATTAGTTTGTGGATGAAACGAGGTCCTAAGCCTCAATTCCATTCCAATTGCTCTCTGTAGGCTTCCCCGGAATCTAGATACAAATTTTGGATCTCTATCCAACACAATAGACACTGGTACTCCATGAAAATGAACAATTTCATCAATATAAATTGTCGCCAATCTATATGCATCATAAGTGGTTCGAACAGGAAGAAAATGTGTAGATTTAGTTAGTTTATCAACTATAACCCAGATAGGACTCATACCTCTCGGGGTCCGAGGTAGTCCGACAATAAAGTCCATGGTTATGTGCTTTCACTTCCATTTCGGAATAGGGAGAGGTTGAAGTAGGCATGCCGGTTTCTGGTGTTCAGTTTTAACTTGCTGACATTGAAGGCACTTGGACACATATTCCGTAATTTTCTGCTTCATATTTGGCCACCAGTAGTTTTGTTTCAAGTCCCGATACATTTTATTGTTACCTGGGTGCATAGCAATTTTGACTTGTGGGCTTCTCAAAATACTATGAATTCATCATGCAAGAATCATTTTGTTTCAAATTCTTTTTCAAGACATCAAATTCATGTAATTGAGCTCCAAAGCTTTGTCGATCATGCATGCATGTACAACATGACTTTGAATTCAAACTTAAATTGAATTCAAACTTAAATATCATAAATCATGTTCAAAAGCATGAGACTTCTCAAATTCTTGCGTGCATGTATGATTTAACGCTAAAATCTTCATGCTAAGCTCATATCTTTCACTAGATTACAAATTTTTCTTGAATTCACAAGTTGTAAAATGTCAATTCACAATCTAAGGTTCAATTACTTACCTAGAGGCTTCAATTCTCCCAATTCTAGCTAGAACTTGAGTTAATCTTCAAAATCTTTCAATTTCTTGAGCAAATCTTCAAGGATGAACTCTCTCTCTCTCTCTACAGAATTCACTAATTTCTCTCTACATAACTTAACCTCAGCCAAATTATTGAAGAAGAGCTCAAATATATGAGCTTAAGCACTATCTCATCCAATTTATATAAGGTAATTAGCTTAGGTAATCAAACTTGATTAAGGCTAATCATTCCTTAATAAATTAATCAACTTAATCTAATTATTTTGATCTGAATCAATTTGTAATCAAATTTCACCGTAGGCTCTAAAATTATGCTAATCATAATGTTGCAGTCAATTTCGGTTTCTGTTGCCTCTATAGCCCTCAATTTCAAATTATAACAGAATATAGTACAAATATTTCTACAATGGATATATATGAATTCACAAACACATATGATCACATGATTAGCATCCAAATTCACATTAAGCACATAATTATAAATATAACTATGGATTAATAGTATAATACAGAACGGGGTTGTCACATTCTTTCCCTCTTTAGGAAGTTTGGTTCTCCAAACTTATGTTACCTTCCGTTGGAAATAGAAGTGGGTAATGTTGTCGCATCTCATCTTCTTTTTCCCATGTGGCTTCCCTACCATAATGCTCCTTCAATTTCTCTTTCACCATTGGAATGGATTGAACAACTGAAATACTGATTGAATTGAACTGTTTTCATTACTGTAAGGACATTCATTCTAAACCCCTTTACGC